TTTTTTTATGACCTTTTTAAAAGATCTTCCTTTTTTCTGTATTTCCCCCAACCCCCATGGTCCTGATTACCCTTCTTTGTACCCCCCACCCTCCCTTCTTCTGAGAGCTTTACACTCTCGTTAGTTGGTCCCTTGACCAATATATGTGCACATACCACAGTCCACTGGTCATCTGAGCTGGAGCCAAGGTTCTCAACTGCTATTATACAGTTCTCAAATGTGAAATGCCAGAGGCAATTAATTACTTAGTATGAGTACTGAGTTTGCAAGTGCTTTATTTCTTTTTTTTTTTGAAAGAAGAGTTGAATTTAGCTCTACAATCATGTCACTGTTACCCAGTCACATACAGAAATGTTTTCTTGAGTGGGAGAGAGAATGACACTCCAGCTAGTCATCTGGGGACTGTGCACAACCCAAGCTTATTTACACTATAGCCTGTAGGAGTTGTGTTGTGGAGTCTGCAAATGTCATCCATCTTGGGGCTTTTTCTCAGCAGAAAAGAAAATGTCTACAACCCTAACCAAAGAACAAGCAGATGTTTCCACCTAAGATTATTATTTTTTATTTGTTTTTTTGGCATGGGTTTTGACCAGATGCTATTAAAAGGTGAGTGAACCTTGGAAAAACATTGTTTCTCTCTTTTTGTTTTTACCAGTTGTTATTTAGCAACACAAGACTGAGGTTAGGAGGAAAAAATTTATTCTGCAGATTTTATTAGATAGCTATTAAAAGTAGCAAATCAGAAAGATGGCACAAATGAAGAAAGACTATTTTTGACCATGAAAGTATGTGGTGGATTCCCTCGCCTCCTTAAACAGCTATGTTCTGTTAAGAGATTGTAGGGCAGAATTCAAGATGGCAACACCTTAAACCGTAAATCAAACAGGTTTCATGTTTTACCTGCAGTTGTGGTTTTGGTGTTTCAAACATCTGTTTGTCATGTCCATTAGTATAAAAACTTCAAAGGGCTCTAATGTTTTCCCAGGAGGTATCTTTGCGGTAACCTCAATTTTTCTTTCTCAACTGATGTCAACAATCTCTACTTATTGTCTCAATTTTAACATAAAATGAAGTTTTTACTCAAGCAGAAAGAATGTGATGAATATATAGTTGTTTCTGTCCCTTGTGAATAAATTAGTTGTAGATCCATGAATTTCTCAGTTTAAAAAAAAAGTTAATAGGGGTGAATAGGAGGGAAAAAAATATTTATATTTGTAACAACCCAAAATGTATATAATAAAATATATTTTCTTTTTGCAATTGCTGGGTATAATCCAGCTCAGAGCTGTGGCTCTGGGGATCACCTTCAGTCTAAAGACAGCAAAATCTGTTAATTTCTTGTGGAAATTCAAGGGGTAGTTTTGAGAATGTATAACTTGAAAAATGAGAGTGACAAGGTTTTGTGTACAGGTTAAGTGACTGGCTTCTTTGGTCATTGTCTTAGTCTCCATCTCTGTAAAAATAAATTTTCTTGCAAAGCTCATTAATAGCTTCATCATTGTTATTCAGGTAGCATGTTCTTTAAAAAGCAGTGTGTGGTTGTGGTGATGGTCACACAATTCTATGGAAGGACTAAGACCCATTAACTTGTACACTTTAAATGGAATAATTATCCTTGGAAGGAAAACTGTAACAGACCTAGAGAGTGTATTAAAAAACAGAGACATCACTTTGCCTACAAAGGTCTGTATAGTCAAAGCTATGGTTTTTTCAGTAGTCAAGTATGTGAGAGTTGGACCATAAAGGCTGAGCGCCGAAGAATTGATGCTTTCGAATTGTAGTGCTAGAGAAGACTCTTGAGAATCCCTTGGACACCTAGGAGATCAAGTCAGTCAGTCCTACAGGAAATCAACCTTGAATATTCATTGGAAAGCCTGATGCTGAACCTGAAGCTCCAATAATTTGGCCACTTGATGGGAAGAGCCAATTCTTTGGAAAAGACCTTGATGCTGGGAAAGATTGAAGGCAAAAGGAGAAGAGGACAGCAGAGGATGAGACAGTTAGATAGCATCACTGACCCAACAGACATGAACTGAGCAAACTCCAGGAGATAGTAGAGGATAGAGGAACCTGATGTGCTCCTGTCCATGGAGTTGCAAGGCATCAGCATGACTTAGCAACTGAACAGCAACAAATGTGAACTATATCTCAGTAAAACATATTTTTAAAAATGTCAATATATAATTATATTTGAGAGGATTGAGGGGTTTTCCCTTGGTAGATTTCCCTTGGCACCTGTGTATGCATTTGGGTTTCCCTGGTGGCTCAGACAGTAAAGAATCTGGCTGCAATGCAGGAGACCTGGGTTTGATCCCTGGGTTGGGAAGATATCCTGGAGAAGGAAATGGCTGCCCACCCCAGTATTCTTACCTGGGGAATTCCATGGTCACAGAAGCCTGATGGGCTACAGTTCATGGGGTCACAAAGAGTCAGAGATGACTGAGCATAAGTTACAATTAGATATGTAAGGAATGTCTATGGCACCATTAAAGAAGTTTTTACTTTAACCTTTCTGATTAGCCACCAATTTAATGATTCTTGCAGCATCGAATAAAAGGGCCTCTATTATAGGATTTAGAGACACAAATGAAAACTTGCAAAATGTAGTAAAGTGGTGAAGGAGCTTAGGATTTGCAGATATGAATGTGTTGAAGTTACAGAGTGTGCATTTGTGTCTATGTGTATGTTTAACAGGTAGATAAACAAATAGGAAACAGAGCTAAATTTACTTGTGTTGATATTTATGTCTTCATTTTTTTGCTGTCCATTGACTACTGATTTCACATCTGTTGAAGGTGAGAAAAGTAATGAAAGATTCATTAATTTTCATTAATAAAAGATTCATTAATTAATTCATTAATCCAGAAAACTCTGATCTGACATCTATAAGGGACCCTGCATTATACTAGATTATGGAGATGTGAGCACAAATAAGATAGGTCCCTGTGTATGCTTTTAATGTCAGTTTTTATCTTTTAAAGGGAATTCTCTTTATTGTATATATATGAAAAAAGAATACATTTTAGGGTTGATTTCTTTAGTAATGCTAAAGAATATTCACAAATATTTGGTCTCATATTTATTTGTGAGCAACAAGGTCTCTTATGCTCTTCTTACTGGAAACTCTAAATCCCATATCTCCCCAAAGAAATACTACTTATTTTCATATATGACAGATGAATACTTTATGATTATCCCTATGTCATTTTTCCCCGTTGGTATTACAGATTGACACACACAAGGCTAAGAACAGCAAACTGGGGCTCAGGAAACATGAATTCTCTCTGCAGCTCTGTCCCTAAGGCCCTGAATGACCAAAGGCAAACAGAGGCTCATCTCTGAAAATAGGACTGGGGTGGAAATTGGAACATGTCTTCTCTAAGACTGTTTCCAGTGCTTGCAATCTCTGGGGTTCTTTCATCTCCTTGAGTGTAATATTTTTAAGGGGCTTAGAGTCATCAATGAGGACATGTACAAAAAACATGAAATTTAGAACATATGCATCTTTTCTGTAGGCAGATTGATACAAAGTACATTCTGGAATGTGAGTTCCGTGAAGTTTGAGACCCTGTTGGTCTCATTCATGGCAATACCAGCAGTTAAATAAATATTTTTTTTCAGAATGAACACATATATATTAGTGAAACATATAAACAGAGAAGGAAAAATAAGAAAGGAAACTTTAGATTTCAGTTCAGTCGCTCAGTCGTGTCTCTTTGTGACCCCATGAACCGCAGCATGCCAGGCCTTCCTGTCCATCACCAACTCCCGGAGTTTACTCAAACTCATGTCCATTGAGTTGGTGATGCTATCCAGCCATCTCATCCTCTGTCATCCCCTTCTCCTCCTGCCCCCAATCCCTCCCAGCATCAGGGTCTTTTCCTAACAGGTCTAACTATTGGAAGAGTAATAGACTGAAGTAGAAAAACCAAAAATAGATGTTTCATTTTGCTTTTTGTTTCCTCAAAGTATGGGACAGCCTGGTGGCAGATTTCAGATTAGGAGAGAGTACACCACGGTAGGAAATTACTCATTTACTAAGCAAATATTTAAATATCCTCTCAGTATTATTGTAGTGGTTATCAAACCTTTTGATCTCACAACCTTTTTACACTTTCAAAATTATTAAGGATCCAGAGGTATTAATATTTTATGTGTTATATCTGATATGTACCACATTGGAATTGAAACTGAGAAATTTAAATTTTTTAATTTAATTCTTTTAAAATAATGACTGTAAGCCCTTTGCATGTTAACGTAAGTTATGAAAAATAATTTCCAAAATGAAAAAAAAAACTTTAGTGAGGTTATTAGCACTGTTTCACATTTTTGTAAGTCTCTTTGATGTGTGGTTTAATAGGAGACATCAGGCTTCTCATACTTGCTTCTGCAGTCAGTCTCCTGCAGTCTGCTGTTTGGTTGAAATATATATTATGGAGGAAACCCAGCCTTAAAGAGATATGGGGTTGGAAAAAGGAGGCCCTCAAAAACCCTGTGAAGGATATGAGGAACTCCCAGGGGTCTTCATCCCACACAGGGAGAACCATTGTCTTCCAGAATGGTGAAACATGAGCAGTGAATTTTGTAACTGAAAGGTGATATGATATTTCTAGCTGAAGAATATATTGATGTCCAAATTAAAAGAAAAAGATGTTGGGGGATCCTTGATAAGTAAGAAGCAGCTCGGATTGGAGACAGGTATATGGCTTCCTGTTGTGAGAGAGATGAGGGAATCTGTAGCTATAGGTTTGGAGAATGTCTGGTATGACTATGATTCCCCTAGGAGGTTGTGATGAACATCTGAGAATATGCCACCTACTGGCATACAAGGTGGTCAACATTCATTATTAAATCCAAAATCTCTCAAATAGAAATGTCTTTTTTAACTCTTCAAGGATTCTTTCATAAGGAGAGATAATAAGTGAAATGTTAAATGTATAAAGCATTTGTTTATATTATGATGCCTTGTTTCTGATTGTTTTTCCTTTGCTCTTTTCCAGACCATCCAGACCTTTCAAGTTACCAAAAAGGTAAAGTAGTCTGGATCATCTTATGAAATAAGTATGTGCTTTTCCCATTTTAGTATTTTCTTTACATTTTACTGCTGTTTTTGCCTTCCTCATTTGTATTTTTGTGAAGGAAAATTATATTTCCTCGGATTTGGCTGCTTAAGGAATCCTGAACTCCAAAAAGTGGTTTTAATCCCAAAGGAGTCTTTTAGCCTTTAAATTCTAGTTGGGTTTGATCACTTATGGACTTCTCTGTGGCTCAGCTGGTAAAGAATCTATCTGCAATGCGGGAGACCTGGGTTTGATCCCTGGGTTGGGAAGATCCCCTGGAGAAGGGAAAGGCTACCCACTCCAGTATTCTGGCCTGGAGAATTCCATGGACTGTACACCATGAGGTCACGAAGAGTCTGACACGGCTGAGCAACATTCACTTTCACTTTGATCATTTATATTTTCATGATTATTTTGAATTCTTTCCTGTAAGGCTTGGCTTCTCAATGTCCTACTTATTGATGAGAGAGAAACCATCCAGTCAACTGCCATGACTTGAACTCACAGCAGTTATTTCAGATGACTTGTCTGTGTCTTTATAAAAATTTTGTTATCCCCTAAAAAAAAAAGAAATTGTTATCATGTTAAGATGGAGGTACTCTTTTATGTGGAAATTTTTAAGTTTTCTTTTTTTAATAGAAAATCAAAGTTTTAAATGGACAAGTGTTTCCGAAAAAAAGCATTGTTTCATCAGATGTCCTTGTGCATGGTGATTCCAGATATGAGGTTATTAAGAAATTCTTCATGATATTTGAAATTCATTTGCTAAGGAAGCTCAGATGCTGATAGCTCTGAAGCCTTCCTCAGGAGAGTTATTCTCTCTTTGGAGTAAGATTGCTACATAAATTTTAATTAGTAAATTTCTTTTATATTTAAAAATATTAATTTTTAAATTGTAGTAAAATAGACATAGCATAAAATTTACCATCTTAACCATTTTAAAGTGTACACTTCTGTGGCACTAAGTACATTCACATTATTGTACAAACATTACCACCATCCGTCTCCAGAACTTTTTTCAACCTGCAAAACTGAACCTCTGTACTTGTTAAATAGTACCTGCTCATTTCTTCCTCCCCCCAGCTTCTGGCAACCACCATTCTCCCGTCTCTATGAATTCCATTACTCTAACATCTCATATGAGTGGAAAAGCACAGCATTTGTCCTTTTGTGACTCTCTGATTTCACTTAGCATGTTGTCCTCAAGTGTCATCCATGTTGTAGCATGCGTCAGAATTTCCTTCCTTTTTAAGACTGAATGATATTCCATGGTATGCATATACTACATTTTTTTTACCCAATTTTGCAACAAAAAAAATTATGGAAAAAAGATGAAGGAAAGAGGTTATACAAATAAATATGACACATGAAGAAAATGAATTTCCATTTTTCTAGAAATAATAGGGTCTTCTTAAATGACCAAAAGTTTTATATTTTGAAAGAGTCATATGTATTTTTCTCTGTTAAAAGATTTGTATTTTTAGAAGTCTTAATTTCTTCTTTTCAATAGATGCACATGTAAATACAACTTCTTCCTAAAATTAGCCTTTTCTGATTCCCCTTTCCCACCCTAGCTGGAAGTAATCTTTTCCTTCATAGAATTCACAAAATTTTTTAATCTGTATCCCTGTAAAAATACACCTCTGTTGACCTAGTTCTGTAGGTATTTGTGTACCTGTCTGATTTTCTGAATTAGGCTCTAACTTCCTTGAGGACAGTTATTCATATCCTCTATGATATCTACTATGATTTTATATATCACTCAGACAGTGGTTATCTGCTATGATTTTATTCCCAGAAAACCTGCATCCTTAATATGTAATGCTAACTGTTGAATGAGTTTATCACTTCACAAGAAAGAGCTCGATACTGTTTTCTTCTGTGAAATTCCATAAGCTTCAAATATTCCACTAAATTGATAGTTGATGCCACTAGAAAAGTTAGGATTAATAACATTTAGAAATGCTTACCCTTAAAAGAGAAGAGGGATAAGGAAAATATATTAAAGGAAACAGAAGGGAAGAAACATAGGAGGAAGAGATTTTTTTTTTTAGGAAGCAAGCAATAGCTAAAGTGTTAAATATTGCTTAGGTAAAAGAAGATGAAAACCAAGACAGTTAGTTGATACTGGCAGTTTCGGAAGACTCACCAGAGCAAGAGCCAGGCTATCAGGGGTTAAGGACTGGGTAGTTGGTCAGGAAAAGAGGCCTGAGGTCCGAGGTACTCATACTGTCTACAGCCTAGCTCTCTGCTCAGAAAGGAAGGGGAGAAAGAAGAGAGGGTTTCCAGAAAGGCAGCAAAGGTCAAAAAAAAAAAATCTCTGTAAACTAAGAGAGGAAAGTTTACTACAGAGGGTCTTATTGTAATACAAATGGTCCATTTAAAACGGGTCCCCCATGTCACATGAGCATAAGTTCGCCCTGTAAGAACTTCATTTATTTGTTTTAATAGTTATTGCTGATCTTTTTCCGGAGTAAAGTAAAGAGTAAAGCCAATAATAAGGTGATTGAGAATCTATGAGGGACTTGCCATGTATGCGTGTGTGCTTAGTCATGTCCGACTCTCTGCAACCCCATTCTCTGTAGCCCACCAGCCTCCTCTGTCCATGGGGTTTTCCAGGCAAGAATACTGGAGTGGGTTGCCATGTTCTACTCTAGGGATCTTTCCGACCCAGGGATCAAATCTGGGTCCCCTGCACTGCAAGGAGGATTCTTTACCACTTGAGCCATCAAGGTCCATATACCTCTTGAGAACTTTAGCAGGGCAGGAACAGCCTGGATCAGGGTGCTAGGCAGCCTGCCCACTCACTTAGATCTGCAGTTTACCCACAAACGCAATCCATTCACCCTGCTCCTTCTGTTATCTGTCATTTTATAGAAGGAGAATGAATCCTTCATAACTGTACTGTTTGATATGTGACCTGTTGAGATGATGATGTGCTCTTTTATATTGGGTTAGTTAAAAAGTTCATTCAGGTTTAGCCATACCATTCATATAGAAAAACCCAAATAAGCTTTCTGGCCAACCCAATACAACAGTGCCATGGGTAGTGCTGCGGGCCTAACCTAAGCAGCTGATACAGCAGTAGGGCCTTGAGGAAAACCATCACTTGGTCAGTAAGTCATTAAGAAATGACTGCCTGCTGTCATCCAGGAGTTGGAGAAGTGGATGGCATGTACAATTATGTTGTAGCGTGGTCTAAAGATGTACAAAATTAGATCAGGCAGATGAAAGACAATTACTGCATGGTATACAGAGGAACATATTATAGTAAAAGAGTGGTCCTTTGGAAAATTCTTCCAATGCATGTGTAGTTGACTTTTCAGAGAAAAGAATGTGCAGGTCCTTTATTCAAATTTAAACTTAGAATATGTACCTTGAACTCAGATGCATCATGAAGGGAATTAGCTAGAAAAAATATAGCTGTAAGATTTATAGGTCATTTTTAATTTCCTTTACTTCTCCAGTTTTCCTGCTTTATTAGATTTTTGTCATAATATTACAACCATTGTCTGGGTTTCATATTATACATGAAACTTTTGTTTCCCACATGGTGCCCATAGCTACACAACATTGTAGCATAGACAGCAGGAAGCAGAAATAGCCTCAGTCATTGTGTGATATTTAGCAGAAACCACTGTCTGAGTGATATTTACTCAAAAGAGTTAGGGCTTTCCCCCCATGGTGCTTTATGTCCTCAGGATAGTGATTCCATTTCTTAAGTGTGAGCAGTTGTCTCTCGGAAAGGTTAGCATGTGAAACATGTGCTCTGTGAACAAGTGGACTTGTAATAGGGTAAGGTTAAACATGTTTGGAAGAAATGTGCTGAAATCACTAATGCCGTAAAGTTTCCATATGTAGTCAGTGCACGGATATGGTAGAGAGCAGTGCTGTAAAATCAAAACCAAATGTTTTCAAAGGCAAGAAAAAGCAATTATTGAATGAGTTTTTTAAGATTGCTGTGCGTGTGTGCAGATTTTTCAAGAACACAAACAAAAAGTCATTATATAGGTAAATTAAACCATAGTATGAAAACTAAGCAATTTGGAGCCCATGGCCTTCTATTGATAACATGTTTGTAGGTAAAAATGCATAACTTCTGGTTTATTTGAAAGAAAATTGATCCATTTAATATAAAGTATAATGAGTAATTGTGTAAGCCTGGAGCCCTTTTCACTTCATAGGGCTGATATTTTAAAGGTCTAAAATGTAAAGGATTTTTTTTTTAAGCCTGAAGCAATGAACAGAAAGTCTCAAATGCGCTATTGACAAAGGATTTTATTGCTTCAAACCAGTTACTTTCATCTTGGTTTGCATTTGATGGAGAAGGAAATAAAGTATAGAAAATATAAGCATTGGGTGTGTTCTGGAAATACGAACGATTCTGACCACTTGGTGTTTACATTTGAACAACTACAATCAGCATATTGAGATTTATGTGTTTTCAATACATTCAGAATTATTCTTAAGTTATTCCACCTTATCTAGTATAATTTTTCCTTAATGAGTTTTTAAATGCAGAATTTACAGTCTAGTGTATCATGTTCAAACTCGAAGTCCTTTGGGTCTACATGATTTTGCACAGAGAAATTAAGAGTGTGGCTTAGGAATTTAATTCTAAATGACAGTTTTGGAAAGCATCTGTTTGTGGCAAGTTGACTTATTCTTGATGTCTTTTGTCTCTCTTGTGTTTGAATCAAGAGATGATATCATTGTGACTAAGAAGCCAGACTCTTAAACCAGACTACCTGGCTTCCTAGCCTTGTGACTTTTTTTTAAAGATATAATTGATATGTAACATTATATTAGTTTCAGGTGTATAACATAATAATTTGATATTCATATGTATTGTGAAATAATCACCACAATAAGTCTAGTTAATATTCATCACTACACACAGTTATAAATTTTTTTTTCTTTCTTGTAATGAGAACTTTTAAAATCTACTCCCTTAGCAGCTTTCAAGTATACAGTATAGTATTATTAACTATAGTTACTGTGTTGTACATTACATCCCCAGGACATACTTGTTTCATGACCAGGGCCAGATTGTGACTTTGAACAAGTTATTCAACCTGACCATGCCTCAGTTTCATCTCATAAAGTTGTGAGAATTCTGTGAGATGATAATCTATGTAAAGCATGAGAGCAACTGGAACTCTTAGTGGGTGCAAGCTATTATTCTTTATTCTCCTAAGGTTGCTTTTAAAAGAAAAATAATGAAAATGCCTGTGCAAGTACACCCTTAAAACATAATTATGTTATATTTTAACTTTCTTATTAAAATTTAATGTGAAAATCTCCATGAAGCCAGATCAATGAAGTTTAGTTATCAGAATATAAAAATCAGCCATCTATTCTTAGAGACATCTTATAGCTTTTTTCAGAATTGTAGAGCCACAAGCTTTCCTTGAACTGCCAGCATGATTTTGAAGAAAAAACTAAAAATATCTGAGCAAGAAGTCTATTTCAAATGAGCCAGAAATAGCCATCACAGCAGCCCAACGAGCTGACACTATTGAGACTTGAAGAGTAGTTGTCCAGAAGTTAGATGTTTCTTTTCTTCTCTAATAAAAATTCAAGAAACCTGAAGTTGGCAGAATACATTTTGAATTTTAGAAGAGTTCAATTTAGTCAACTTCTATTAAGCACTAAGTTGTTAGCTAGATCTGCAAGCATCGAGTTAGGAAGGCCTGGTCCAGGATCTGATGGAAGGGCCCAGAAACAGGTCTTTCAGTGGAAGATAGTGAATGAGGGTATGGGAAGGGTATCGGGAGAGATGACTTGACTGTGGGTTTGGTAACAGGAGTTCCTGAGGTGTAGTAAGAAAACACAGCCAGGCCATGCTGTTTGGAGAATTGAGGGAAGATAGATACATGGGTGTTTGTTCATCTAATCAATAGACAGTGACCAAGCACCTTTTAAAAGGCACTGTTTTGCACAGGATCATCTGTATCATTTTTCTATTTGCACAGAAGAAATAGAGACACAGACGCAGCTGTGTGGGTATCAAGGGGGAAGAGGGGGTGGGAGGGATTGGGAGATTGGGATTGACATGTACATAGTACTGATGCTTTCTGTAAACTAGATAACCAATGAGAACATACAGGGAACTCTACTTAATGTACTGTGGTGACCCGAAATGGGAAGGATTCCCAGGGGAGGGGATACAATGTGTGTATCTGTATGGCTGATTCACTTTGCTGGACAGTAGAAACTAACACAGCATTGTAAAAAACTATACTCCAATAAAAAATAATTTTCAAAAAAGAAAGTATATAAATGTTTAGCAAAAAGAAGGTGGCACTAATACTGTACTAAATCAACCACTCAATCAATCAAAAGTCTCTGCCCTCATGTAGCTCACTGTCTAGTGGATAAGTTCATTACTGTTGTTCCATGTCCAACTTTTTATTTTAACTAAAAGGAAGGTTAATAGGTTTATAAGGAGGTTTCAATTTGGTTTGGTTATTCTTAAGACTTACAGGCTTTCCCGGGTGGCTCAGCAGGAAAGAATCTGTCTGCCAATGCAGGAGACGCAGGTTTGTTCCTTGGCCAGGAAGATCCCCTGGAGAAGGAAATGGCAACCCACTCTAGTATTCTTGCCTAAAGAATTCCATGGACAGAGGCGGCTGGCAGGCTACAGTCCATGGGGTCACAAACAGTTGGACATGACTTAGCATCTAAAACAACAATTCTTAAAGCTTTACCTGAACCTGTTTATGGGCTGGGTTCTTTTTCAAGAGGTGATGGAGTGAAAGTAGGGAGAAAGGAGTAACTGGAGAAACAAAAGTTCTGGAAGAGACTGCAAAGAGGATGGAGCCTCTGTTAAAATATATTTCTTTCCACTTAGAAAGTGTAGATTCAAGATCTTTTTCCCAGGCACAGATTTAATAATGAAATATTACTTGTCAGAAATGGACATTATGCTCACTTTCAGATGGTTAGATAGCATCACCGACTCAACAGACATGAATTTGAGCAAACTCCAGGAGCTAGTGAAAGACAGGGAAGCCTGGCATACTGCAGCCCATGGAGTCACAAAGAGTCAGACACAACTTAGCAACTGAGGAACAACAGTTTATAATCTCATTAGATCTTTCATTGGTAAATACCTGTACTAGGTCTGAAGTAGGAAGAATGAACAAATTGCTCTGTTAGGTAGTGAAAAAACTTTACTCTGCTTCTAAGCGGCTTTCTCTGTGATCTCTCTCTGCTCTTGTAGTTACGCAGCCCTGATAGCAGACTGGCCTGTGGTTGTCTTGGGCCTGTGCACGGTGTTCATCGTGGTCTGTGCCTTGGTTGGAGTATTAGTGCCAGAGCTTCCTGATTTCTCTGATCCATTGCTGGTAAGGAAAACTGAGCCAATAGAATCTGCTGGTCTATTTTATTTAGCCTTCAATCATCTCAAAAGAATAAGCACTTTAAGACACTTTGTCTTATGTTATCTAGTACCCTCTCTTTTGAAACCTTCTCAAGCCATCAGTAAGTACAGTCACTTTCTGAAAGAGGGAAGACTTATCTGTATTCTCAGGTTCTCAAAGGGGGTCAAGAACTTGCTCACCATCAAAAATCTGGAAATCTGTTTCTTGGTCTCCATGTTAACCTAAAGAGCTGTAAATTGGAGAATCTGCAAACTATAAAGACATTTTCACAAAATCTTTAAAACCAAAATGTCACTTTTTTTTTCCGGAGGAAGTTAAAGGAATTTCAGTGTTACTAAGAGAGAGCAGGGTCTGTTTTTAAGTATTGGTAGATGTCCCTCGGGTGTGGAATAGGGAGGAAAATATGAATGAGGATAATTATAATGATAAACTCTTTGTAAAACATGCATAACATAATTTAATTTGACCATGATGTTTTATAACATAAAAATAAGTATTTACTAAATGCTAGGGATGCATATAGAAGAGAAGCTTCAGATAAGTTTTTTCTCCTCCCTTTTCCTGAGATATGTAACATACCAAAGAATCAGGCTGATTTGTCACAATAAATAGGTGATCATTATTATGTCAAATCATCTTGTTTTAATGCAGTTCACCTCTGGAGTAGCTGTGAGGAACGTATTTATTTTCTGTTGAAAGCTATCCATCACCTTGACATTGCCTTCCCAAGCTGTTATAACTATACTTAGCCTGAAATGAAGTACACTAATGGGAATTTGTAATATTTTGCCTTAGGGTTTTGAACCAAGAGGGACTGCAATAGGCCAGAGACTGGTCACATGGAATAACATGGTGAAAAATACAGGATACAAAGCAACATTAGCAAATTACCCCTTTAAATATGCAGATGAACAAGCCAAAAGGTAACCATTTATTAACTTTTAGACAAAACACTGCTAATGAATTCCACTTATAAACACTGCCTGAGCAAAGCAATTACATCTAAAATGTGTGGCTCAAAATCTTTACCACTGAATGTGTTAAAATTGTCATTGTCTTTTAAGATTGTGTTGTCTGTTAGTGAAGGTTTGGGTTTGGGTTTTTTTTTTTTTCCTTTTTCAGAAGTGAGAAAATTAATGGCGGTTGCTTATGCCCATCCATCCAACTTAATACCAAGCACTAAATAGGTCATGACTTTGAGGCAGTACTGTTACCGGTAGGTTTCTCATCCTTGGAATGGTGAGGACTTGACTGAAGATCAAATTGTGTTCCATTTCAGCCATCGGGATGATAGATGGTCAGACGATCATTATGAAAGAGAGAAGAGAGAAGTTGACTGGAACTTCCACAAGGACAGCTTTTTCTGTGACGTTCCAAGTGAGTGGCATCATAGATGACAAACCTCTCAGAGTTTCCTGAGATTGAACGAGATTGATAACCTAGACTGTCGGGTATATGTGACTGGTCACACAGCTTTACAGCTTCTGTCATGCTTCAAGAGATTTTGTTTAATTAACTTGTAATTTTACTTCTCTAGGTTAGTCAACCACTAATCTGAATTTATTTACCTATAATTAAAAAAAATAATGAGCAAAAAAGAAAAAAATAATAAGAGAGGATTGAGTTATAGCCGGTTTTAAGAAAGATATAAATCTAATAAAATTATTGACCTTGCTCAATATTTCAAGTCATTTAAAAAATTCCTTGCACATATTTTTAGATTGAACCCTGAAATAATCTACTGTCAAAACACCTGTATTAATAGCCTTCTTGTGCCTGCCTTGTCATTAGGCATTAGAGGAAGAAAGACGAACAATTAAAGTCCAGAGGTTCAAAGCTTGCATGCCTCAGTGACCCAGCTCATATATGGATGAGATAAGTGAACTGAGTTAAGACAGCAGGAAGTGATGGTGATTGAAGAGTATATGGCAGAATATGGCCTTGAAAAAATGAGGGCCCAAATATTGTAAGAAATTCCCAGAGGCCAGGAATCCAGATTTCAGTATGGCATCACAGATCTCTAAATGTTGGCAGCAAATTCACTAAACAAAATCGGCTGTGGCCTAGAGTCAGCCTGGTTCCTCTGTAGCTGCCAGGAAAGAAGAGTTCCGGGCCTCAGAGAAACATGTTTAACTTTACGTGTCACTGATTAGCCCTCATGGTTACAAGTGGGGAATTGTGATAACTTCAATTTCTGATTAAGTGAATATTAACATTGAAGCTCCTTTGGTTTCAGCTTTTTTTGTTGTTGAAAATCCTTCTAAGATGTGTTTTTTTCTTATCTTCTTAGATCACTAGGGGACCTACCTGATTGGGTCTTAGGTGTTTCTATATCTATTCAAACTTCAGGGTCTTTGTCTTGAAGACAGGAGTTTACTAAAGAAAACTTTGTGACCATTAATAAATGCTCATGTAATAAAGCTTTATTCATAAATTTGTAATTGATTTTCTTTGTTTGCACCATTTGGCATTTTGATCATATAAAATTAACTTACTTTGTTTCAGTTCACTTATGTTAATTTTTTAATGGCTAAGGGAGCAGAAACAGTACTTATTGAGCACCTATTTTTCAGTATCTCATTTAATTCTCAACACTTACTTGAGAAAGTGTTGCTGTCTTTATTTTACAGATGAGGAACTGAGGCTCAGGAGAGCTGTTAGTTGCCTAAGATCACCTAGCTAGTAAATGACAGAACCTGGTTACAACCCAGTTTTCACTTTAAAGACCACGTTCTTTCCAGGATATCACACAGCCTCCCTTGTTTGGAAATATATTTTGTAACGGTATGATTTTCAAAATATTTTTTCTAGAACTCTGAACACTCAGCAAGAATGAGGAGTGAGTCTGTGATCCTGGCCGGCATTCTGTGTTTAGTTGACCAGTTAGTGCTTTAACATTGATCATTTGCCATCTTTGCTCTCTAGTTAGCTGCCACAGAGAACACCCTTATAATTCATTCTTGATATGCCCTGGTGCCTCATTCTTTGATTTTATATACCACTGTGGTGATATGTTGTGAAATTAAGAGGGAGGCATTCAATTGATTTTTCTGCCAAAAGTTCTTATGGATTGTTCTCCCTAATTACAGTCTGATCAGAACTAGATATGTCATATAACTGCTACGATTTTTAAGATACAGTGAGTCGACAAAGGCTTTGAGCTAAAGCAATATGTAAAAAAATCTTTTTCTTACATTTTTCTCCTGGAATTTAATGAAAGACAGGATTCCCCACTGCTAATGAATTGCCCATGTGGTTTCCCAGTTTGAATTATTTCTGAATGCTGAGTCTTCTGAAATTAATGAATAATTTATAAACCTTTTTCTTTTTTTTTTTTTCCCTGTCACCAGGTGACCGATATTCCAGAGTAGTATTTACTTCAGCTGGAGGGGAGACATTGTGGAATTTACCTGCAATTAAATCAATGTGCAATGTAGATAATTCAAGGGTATGTAAAGTAAAACTGAAATCTGTTCGGCACAAATAAGGTTGTATTTCTGAAACTCCTTTTACTGCTGAGCCTGGTGCCTGATCAGATGAAAGCACTTAAGTGGCTTACCTACTGAAGAATAAACACCAGGAGAATGGCTTTGCATTCTTTCGACCCCAGGATCAAAGTGTTTCTGTTTCCCCACCTTTAAAACATACCATCTTCCTTAATAAAGATCTCTTTCTTTCCCACTCATGTTCTTTGTCCTTCATAGTCTTTTGTGTTATTTCACAGCTTATTTCCTTTCAGGATAATAGTTAAGCCTTTTTTTCTTCTTTTGTTGTATTTTCTCTTTCCTAGTTTCATTGTTCACTCCATTTTTCCCCCTGAGGCAATTGTCAGCATCTTAATTATGCAATGAAATGCTCACCTTTCTGGCAATCAATGGATCCTTTTGGCGGGTGACCTCAAAGGAAAATTTAGGGCACAGGCCAGGAAAGAGGACATCAAAGAGCATAAATACAATATCTATGGAAATGGCCTGAGTAATCCAATCCAGATTGTTCTGAATTCTGAACACCTTAATGCTTTAACAAGACATAAGGATATAAGAAGACAGGCACTTCCACTCCTAATCTTCTATAGAGCACCAGAAAATATAAAGTCACCTACCAGGCTTGGAAGAGCAGTCCATTTCATGTGTTCAGACGTAGTTTCTCCAAGTAGAAACTGCTGGTCACTGAGGTCACTAATGGCCTCATCCAAACACAGTAACAAAGCAGAAAAGGAACTTGTATTCTGAGTATAATTCCATTCTCAATTAATGTCTCGACTTGGTCACTATCAACTTCAGCTGGTCTACCTGACCGTGGAGCGTTGTCAAGTGAAAAACTCCAGCATGAAACCCAATAAAATGTAAAATCACTTGTCAGTTGAAAATCTAATCACATGCTCTAAGAGTTAGACTGACAATCCAGGGAATTAAATCACCTGTTCTATTAAAAGGATTCTTTAATGCATAGGAGGTAGAAAGGACCCTTTGAGGTCACCCACAGACCAGCACTGTCCCTGTGCTGATAAAAGGACCTTCTGAGAACTGAGTGCCTTACCCAGGTCACCTAGTTAGTTGGTCCCAGATCTCCTGACTTCATTCTTCATTCGGAGAGGCCGTTTACACATTTTGAAAATAATTTTTGCATCTATGAGGATATCAGGATTTTCTGAGTGCCATTTTGTCTCTCTGCAACTCCAAATAGACCAAAGTCACAAACCTTCTGTAAACAGCCTACAGTTTCTTCATCAGTGAGCCATTTTTGTCATATTTTGTTCTGTTCTACAATGATCAGTGGATTTTTGAAAGCTACTATGAGCTTATTCTCCTTGTTATGGGTTACAGCCATTCTCATACAGAAAGTTGACTCTAAAGTTAACTTTAGAGAGCACTTGCTGTGTGCAAGGCTTTATGCTGGGTATTTTACATCTCTCACAGTAGACCTGTGACCTTGGAATAATACCTTTTAATGGATGAGCAGTTAAGCTTAGAGGAGTTAAGCCAGTCTGGTTACTTTATAATCACACCTTGGATGAAAACAGTTCATTAACCTCTTAGACCCTGTTATTCCTACCCTTGCAGTTAATCTTTAGACCTTCCCTCCCTTGAAGACACTAAAGTGATTGAATTCACTCAATTGATTAACAGCTGATGTTTTTTGAGTGTTATTGATATTTGTCAGGAAGTATTCTAAATACTTTAATGAATTATTTCATTTAATTCTCACAACAGTGTTAGGAATGAAACACTGTTATTTTGCCTGTTTTGCAGATGAGAAAGTTCACACAGGTGGTAAGTGACAGATGCAGGATTTGAACCCAGCCAAGCCTTAATTCCAGGGCTTCCCAGGTGGCTTGGTGGTAAAGAATTCACCTGCCAATACAGGCAATGTGGGTTCGATCCCTGGGTCAGGAATGTCCTCTGGAGGAGAAAATGGCAACCCACTCCAGTATTCTTGCATGGGAAATCCCATGGACTGAGGAGCCTGGCAAGCTACAGTCTGTGGGGTCTCAAAGAGTCAGATATAACTGAGCAACTAAACAACAACAAAAATCTAATTCTAGAGTCTGTGCCTTTACCCTCCATTCTTTATGCTTCCATAATGCAGATTACTGTTTGCTCTTCCATTTATGTTTTGTGTTGTTTTGCTATATATACCATTTCCCACTCAAATGAACCTCAAAGAATCATCATGGCCTAGAATAGAATAAGTACCTTTTAAAAAGCTAGCAATTTATTCTATGAGTACATCTTAGATTTTTAATGAACTCAAAAACTCTAAAACCAGTAAGCAGTACTGTGCCATTATAGCTTTCATAAGTGAAGAGTATATTATATATACATACATGTGTATATTTCAGATGATAAAATATCAGCACCAATAGGAACCTTACAAAAAGGCATACAGAAAGGATAAATAATTGAATGAATTACTTGAAGGGACAATAGTGGGTGGAAAATAAAGCTAAGGATGAGATTGGACATACAATAATGCATACCCCACAATTCTGTGTATTTGCATGGTGGTGAGCTTCAAATTTGTCTTTTAACTTCCCTGGCAACCAGCGCAGAGGAATTCACGGTCAGAGACAAAAGTCACTGAAATAGAGCTACAGATTTGTTTTTTAGAAGAAACCCATTTTCCCTTCATACTAAGACAGGAAAAGATTGTTCCCATACTTCCAAAAGAAGTATGATGTTCTGAAGAAAGTTCTTAACAGCAGGTTTAGCAGGTTTACGAGAGGTACAGTGCTGATTCTTACTTGGTTTGTAAACCATATCTCAAGTAGGTTGGTACTTGAGATATACCAGAAGCTTTTCTACAAGGGATAAAGCAGTGAAATCTCAATACGTGGTTTCTAATGGTTTGGCTTGAAGTGTCTGCAAAATTTAAACTACTGAAAAAAGTAGATGTACTTTGCTTGTCCTTTTTTCTCTACTGAACTCATAATAAGAATGGTTAGCTATGAGTTCAAGCCTATACTCACTTCCTTGAAAGAACGTAACAATCTGTAGTACTTTTGTGAAAATGTGAGGAACAGACCCAAAGACACATCTGAATGAATGGTCAAGCCACTTACAGATGCATACCAGTAAATGAATAAACATAACCAAGGCCCTGAAATTCTACCTCAAGGAGTATGGTTGTAATTTGAGCTTTTTAAATTAAATGCTATTTTTGCCAATTGCAAATACCCTTGTATTCTAACCTCAAACTCTTGCTGTGAACCTAGAACAACGTGTTTCTCACAGAGATAATATGTTTAGTGATGTCTTGTGCCCACTCAGTTGTGTCTGACTCTGTTTGACCCCATGAACTGTAGCCCTCCAGGCTCCTCTGTCCATGGGGTTTCCCAGGGAAGAATACTGGAGTGGGCTGCCATTTCCTCCTCCAGGGGATCTTCCCGACTCAGGGATCAAACCCACGCCTCCTGTGTTTCCTCCATTAAAGGCAGCTTCTTTACTGCTTGAGCCATCAGGGAATAATATCTAGTGGTTAACGATTCAGATTTCAGACTATTACTGTACCTTTTTGAGTCTCCCAGCTCAAGACCCTTTGGGGATTTTTATTTGTTATGGTGCTTTGAGCAAACGGTGTCCTGAAGCTACTTGACAGTCTTTCCTTTTTTCCCCCCTCAAATCCTCACTGTCATACCTAAGCACTTGATTATTAACAACGATCAAGTTGAATGAGACACATATGAAATGATACAGAGCAGAAGAGCTTAATTGTTGGTCAGTTGACTCCAGAAAGCATCTGGTAATCAGTGTAATGTCACCAGGAGACCAGGTGTTTCAGTTGTTGCCTGCCTGTGTTGATAGCACATTGAGTTCAAACACCAATTCCCATTTAAATTACATGCCACTTGTACTCACAGTTTAGATGGGTGCTGGTTTCTAGAGTGTAGAGCTTCTGTTTCTGATGCTGTGTCTGTCTTGTCACAGAAATGCTTGGTTTCTTAGACTCTCTCAAAAGGGGACTCAGTTGCTTCCTCCGACTGTCTTCATTACTTTTCATTGCGCTTTTGCATTCCTGTAGGGCATGCTGGCAGAGAGTCATTAGTAACAAAGACGTTTGTATGTCTAATCTTGACTGCTGGAAACTCTTTACCCTGTTTTTAATCTTTGTACACTGTAGAAGTTGGTGCTCAGAGGAATCAGCTTGTAGTAGGGATTTGAAATTTGGTACCCTTTTTACTTACATAGCTTTTGTGGACAGCTGGAATGCAGCCCCCTTCCTCTGAAGCTTAGAAGACTCTAGAAATGTGTTTCCTGATGCCTGGAGATTTTGTTTGTTTGGTTTTATTTTTTGGCCACACCATGCAGCAGGTGATGGGGGATCTGAGTTCCTCAACCAGGGATTGAACACAAGCCCTCAGCAGTGGAAGCTCAGTCTTAACCACTGGATTGCCAGGGAAGTTCCCTGATGCTTGTTTTAAAGAAAGCTGTGGAGCCCTTGCTTTCTCTTTCGTCTCTAGGCTCCCTTCAACTTTTATACGTGAGGAACTTAGTCATGTGGGGAGTGAGTCCAGCAGTTGATTGAACCTGGTATTAAGGGCTGAATTTTCTTGCCTTTATTGTTTTCTCCATGTCTTACCATATCTCCAACTTGGCCATTAGATTTGAAAGTTAAGGTATCATTTAAACTCTGCTGGTTTCTTCTTTTTCTCTATTTGAAGGCAACTCCACCCCTGCTCCCATCTGACCAGGGAAGTGTGCAAAGGCGTATTATTACCACACAAGCAAAATGATTTCCTAAAACTCCCATCTGTGAATACCTAGAATGAAAAGGGTGTCCCTCATGAGAGTTGCAAGAAATGGCTCTCAGAAACTCCATCCTTATTTTTATAAACTTCAAAGATTTCAAAATCATTCCTATGATGGCAAAAATATGCAGAGATGCAGCTGCCTTCTGCATGAAGATATACCTGCTTGCCAAGCCCTTTCAGCCCCACAGTGTAACATATCACTCTGTATCGCGCTGTCTCCATCCCAGATGACTAAGCCGTGCTTCTCTCTCATTGCACTTACAGACTTTGGCACTCTGTTCACAGGTTCACATAGACTCATAAACATAATATGTTGCTTCTCATGCGAATTGTCATCGTTGCTTTTCTTGTCTGATTTCCCCACCTTACCATGAGCAACTTGGGGACAGGACCAATTTGCCTTATTTGTCTTGCATGGGTGCTCAATAAATATTTTTTCTTTTGAATGAATGGATGGATGGATGGATGGGGACATACAGCATCACTCCCTGAAAGCCTAAATGACCCTTGAGCTCCATGCCTTTAGATTTAGGGCACTGGCATCCAACTCAGGATAAATGTCTATTCTCTGTCCTTATTTTTTATCCTCTAAAACAGTCCTCAAAAACTGTTTTCCAAAGGTTGTACATCAGCCAGCATCACCTTTGAATTTGAGGATTGGCCCTCCAGAGGCTCATTAGCATTTATTTTTTATAGCAGCCATCAAAGTAGTATTTGGTCTGTGTTTGTCATGTCCAACTTTTTAATCTCTGGTCAGATACACACATAAAAAACCCTCTGCAATTCTTTGAAAAGGTTAGTCAAGGACAGAATTCTGTGCCTTTTCCCCCAGTTTTAGCTGGCAACCCTGTTTCCTTTATCTTTGGCATTTGGTTATTTGGACAAGTACAGATATGTTCTTTCTAGCTGATAGTGGGTTTTGTAATGGATACGGTTCATTTTCTTCCATCTGAAAACTGTCAGACCATGCATTACCTTTCTTTCAATTCAGTAGGCTGAGCCCAGGGACTTGCCTGTTATTTCTTTATGGGATAAAACTGGTTATCTGAGAGATGCTATTCCAGGATTTCCTGTTATTTATTAGGTGATTCAGTTCCCCCTGTGTGAGCTTATGTGAATGTTTTTATGTAGGAACAATTAAATGTTAATCATCCTGTTTTATGAAATGCCCAGTAATTATCACTCTCTAAAAATGAGCTTGAAAATCAAGCCTTTGTTAAAATCAGCATTATTTTAGTATATTGTATAACAACCCTTTGATTCATTTTTTTTAACTCCCAATAGAATATCTTAAAAAACAAAACAAAATAACTTTTTATTATGGAAATTATCAAACAGATGTAAAAGTAGAATAGTAGAACGAATCCCTATGTGCAGGTCACCGAACTTCAGCAGTTCCCAGTATATGGCCAATCTCCTTTCATCTACTCTTTGCCCCTTGCAAGATAAGTCCCAGTAAAGTATGCTGATCACCAGGGCTTAGTGAGTTACAAGTAACTTGGTTCTTGGATAAGTCTGAGTTCTAAAGATGATTTGTGCCAACATCTCTACTTTGAGAAAATACTTCAGTGCATGATTGATAAAATGGCAACCCACTCCAGTATTCTTACCAGGAAAATCCCAAGGACAGAGGAGCCTGGTGGCCTACAGTCCAAGGGGTTGCAAAGAGTCGGATATGACTGAGCATACACACACACTTTAATAAAAGGGAAAGGGTGGTTTTAATCTTATTAGAAAAAAAATACCATGAGCCCTTCTTCAACTTTGGAGTTTCTTCCCTGGAACAACATTTGGTAGATAGAGATGAGGAAAGTGATAGGAGTGGGTCGTCTTTAGCCCTGTTGCTTCCAGAGAAGTCTCTGGACAGGCTCGAGAGCAGGGGGATAGTTCTTACTCTCAGCCTCAGGGTAGAGGGGCTATTCATGTAATTTATAGATTTTTAAAGCAGTAGGATTATGCAGTCTTCACTCTAACCTTACCAATGCCACCTTTGGCATTGGAACAGATTTCAGTTTTCTATAAGAAGAATAGCCATAGAAGAAAAGCCTTCTCCAGGCTTTCAGTTCCAAATGAAATACTGTCCACATTAAATCCAGAATTGTTAGACTTACTAATATGCAGCAGACCTCTGTTTACCAAACAAAAAGTTCCCCAAAGCGGGAGGGGTGGTTAGCCAACTTGAATAAACTTTGAAGGCTGTGGAAGAAATAAATTCCCACTTAAGTATTTTATTACCTGTATATGTTTATTTAAAATCATACATATATCATTTTAATTTAGAAACATTTCCCCTTTCTACTTATATATCAGGAAACCATTTTATTCCAGGTTTTACATGTATCTTTAGCATCTGCTTCTGATATTACCAGGATCACTTTTTGATTCACTGACAGTTTTCTAGAGAATATCACCTTTGCTTCCACCTAAGATGATTGAAATATAGTACCTCTGTCACCAAATATTTCATGCTGATCACCAGAAATTTTAGGTGAAGCCACAAATTCATTTCATATATCAATTGGGCAATTGTTCTCTTAATTAATCCAGTAGGTGTTCATACATATGCTTCACAGCCTATCCATTTAATTGCTTTTTAAAGTGACTTTGAAAGGGCTTGTTTACCAAAGAGGTGTTAATTTTACCTCCTGTTTGAACCCAAACTGGCATTGATTGAAATTGTTTCACACTTGGATGTCATCCCCAAATAGTAGTTTACTGTTCAAAATGAAGTAACCTAGCAGGAAAGCCTGATGTGCTGCAGTCCATGGGGTCACCAAGAGTCAGACTGAGCAAGGGAACAACAAAGGGAGCCTTCTGTAGCCAAGAAAGCTGACTGGGGACGGGGTGGGGTGGGGTGGGGGAGGGAATCTCACCTTGTAGTCAAACTGGCAGCTCCAGAGGATGATTCTGTAACTCCGGTAACTTTCCTGCCCCTCAAGGCCACCGTCCTTCAGACCTGTCCATGAACCGATTTTAAACAGCAGTCCTTCCGCCTGTCTCTGTCTCCGCAGATCCGATCGCATCCGCAGTTTGGCGATCTCTGCCAGAGGACCACGGCTGCCTCCTGCTGCCCCAGCTGGACACTGGGGAACTACATCGCTATTCTGAACAACAGATCATCCTGCCAGAAAATCGTGGAGCGCGATGTTTCTCATACCTTGAAGCTTCTCCGCACGTGCGCCAAACACTACCAGAACGGCACCCTGGAGCCAGACTGCTGGGATATGGCGGCCCGGAGGAAGGACCAGCTCAAGTGCACCAACGTGCCACGGAAATGCACCAAGTACAACGCCGTGTACCAGATCCTCCACTACTTGGTGGACAAGGACTTCATGGCCCCGAAGACAGCCGATTCCACGCCCGCTCTGAAATACAGCATGCTCTTTTCGCCCACCGAGAAAGGCGAGAGCATGATGAACATCTACCTGGACAACTTCGAAAACTGGAACGCATCCGACGGCGTCACCACTGTCACCGGCATTGAGTTTGGTATCAAGCACAGCTTGTTTCAGGATTATCTTCTGATGGATACCGTGTATCCCGCCATCGCCATGGTGATCGTCCTTTTAGTCATGTGCATCTACACCAGGTCCATGTTCATCACCCTGATGACGATGTTTGCCATCATCAGTTCTTTGATCGTGTCCTATTTTCTCTACCGCGTGGTGTTTAACTTTGAATTTTTCCCTTTTATGAACCTCACCGCGCTCATTATTCTGGTGGGCATTGGAGCAGATGATGCTTTCGTCCTATGTGACGTCTGGAACTACACCAAGTTTGACAAGCCTCACGCAGAAACATCAGAGACAGTGAGCATCACGCTGCAGCACGCTGCCCTGTCCATGTTCGTCACCAGTTTTACCACGGCAGCTGCCTTTTACGCCAACTACGTGAGCAACATCACGGCCATCAGATGCTTCGGGGTGTATGCGGGGACAGCCATCCTCGTCAATTACGTGCTGATGGTCACGTGGCTTCCGGCGGTGGTTGTCCTGCACGAGCGGTACCTGCTTAACATCTTCAGCTGTTTCAAGAAGCCGCAGCAGCAGATGTACGACAACAAAAGCTGCTGGACGGTGGCCTGTCAGAAGTGCCACAAAGTCCTTTTTGCCATTTCAGAAGCATCTCGGATTTTTTTTGAAAAAGTCTTGCCGTGCATCGTTATTAAGTTTCGCTACCTCTGGCTATTCTGGTTCCTGGCCTTAACGGTGGGCGGGGCCTACATCGTCTGCATAAACCCAAAGATGAAGCTGCCCTCCTTGGAGCTCTCCGAGTTTCAGGTGTTCAGGGCGTCTCACCCTTTTGAACGTTACGACGCCGAGTACAGAAAGCTGTTCATGTTCGAGCGCGTCCACCACGGAGAGGAGCTCCACATGCCCATCACGGTCATCTGGGGTGTATCCCCAGAGGACAACGGCAACCCCCTAAACCCTAAGAGCAGAGGGAAGCTGACCTTGGACAGCGCCTTCAACATCGCTAGTCCGGCTTCGCAGGTCTGGATTTTGCACTTCTGTCAAAAACTGAGAAATCAGACCTTCTTTTACCAGACCGACGAACAGGACTTCACCAGCTGCTTCATCGAGACCTTTAAGCAGTGGATGGAAAACCAGGACTGCGATGAGCCTGCCCTATACCCCTGCTGCAGCCACTGGAGCTTCCCCTACAAGCAGGAGATCTTCGAACTGTGCATCAAGAGAGCCATCATGGAGCTGGAGAGGAGCACAGGCTACCACTTAGATAGCAAGACCCCAGGGCCGAGGTTTGACATCAATGACACCATCAGGGCAGTTGTGCTAGAGTTCCAGAGTACCTACCTCTTCACCCTGGCTTATGAAAAAATGCATCAGTTTTATAAAGAGGTGGACTCATGGATTTCCAACGAGCTGAGTTCTGCCCCTGAGGGCCTCAGCCACGGCTGGTTTGTCAGCAACCTGGAGTTCTATGACCTCCAGGACAGCCTCTCCGATGGCACCCTCATTGCCATGGGGCTGTCCGTGGCCGTGGCCTTCAGTGTGATGCTGCTGACCACTTGGAACATAATCATCAGCCTTTACGCCATCATTTCGATCGCCGGAACTATATTTGTCACCGTGGGTTCCCTCGTCCTACTGGGCTGGGAGCTGAACGTTTTGGAGTCAGTCACCATTTCGGTGGCGGTGGGCCTGTCTGTAGACTTTGCTGTCCATTATGGGGTGGCTTATCGCTTGGCCCCAGACGCTGACCGAGAAGGGAAGGTGATCTTCTCTCTGAGTCGCATGGGCTCTGCCATCGCCATGGCCGCGCTGACCACCTTCGTGGCCGGGGCCATGATGATGCCCTCTACGGTTCTGGCTTACACCCAGCTGGGCACCTTCATGATGCTCATCATGTGTATCAGCTGGGCTTTCGCCACCTTCTTTTTCCAGTGCATGTGCCGGTGCCTTGGGCCGCAGGGGACCTGCGGTCAGATCCCTTTACCTAAAAAACTCCAGTGCAGTGCCTTCTCCCACGCCTTGTCTGCAAGTCCCAGTGACAACGGACCAAGCAAGACGCACACCCTGAATGCTTATCATTTAGATCCTAGGGGCCAGACATCAGAAATGGAACATGAGTTTTATGAATTGGAACCTCTGGCAGCCCACAGCCGTGCAGCGTCTGAGAAGACCGCTTATGAAGAGACCCACATCTGCTCTGAATTTTTCAGCAGCCAGGCGAGGCATTTAGGGCTGCCTGTCCACACAGCTTACAACAGTGAACTCAACAAAAGCACCAAAAATGAAACGAGCCCTGCCTTGTTGCAGGCCTCTCTTGAACAGCACACCATGTGTCACTTCTTCTCTCTGAATCAGAGATGCAGCTGCCCAAATGCCTACAAACATTTGAAATACAGCCCGCCCTGCTGCCAGCAGATGGGCGACTGTTTGTGCCACCAGTGCGCTCCCACTGCCAGCAGCTTCGTGCACATCCAGAATGGCCTGGCGCCTCTGAAGGCCGCACACCAAGCCCCCGAGGGCTTCGTGCATCCGGTCCCGCGCATCCACCCCTGTTCTGGCCAACAGTGCAGGGCAAAACCGCCTGGAGCCCAGAATGCTCTGCCCAGGAGTTTCTTCCTCCACCCAATGCAGCACATTCAGGCCCAAGAAAAAATCACTAAGACCAGTGTACACAGTCTTCAGAGCCTCGAAGAGCATCTTCCAAAGACGGTAGAGCCATCATCATTGGTCTGCAGAAGTGCCGGAGCCTTACACAAAGCCTGCTGTGGTCCTGAGACTCACCCAAGGGGACTCTGTAAAAACAGAGACCTCAGGACCACGGAGGGCAGTGGCGGGGCCGCCGCCAAGGACTCCGTTTCAGTGAGTCAGCCCAACAATGCAGAAAGGCGGGTGGAGCTGAGCCCATCACAGACTGATGTCATTGTGAGCTCGGAACATTTAAATCAGAATGAACCCAAATTTCTATTTAACCATTTAATAGGGGAGGCCGGGTATAGGTCCTGCCCAAACAACCCACAGAGCCGTGGCAGAATTGTGAGAGTGAAGCGCAGTTCTGTGGACTGTCCAATACCAAACATCGAAGCCGGCGTGCCTGCTGTGTTAACACCCTCAGAACTTTCTGGCGAGAGTTTGTTAATAAAAACACTTTAATAAATATAGTGTTAAACCAGCGCCTCAGTCGTGCCTTTGAAATAGAAATCCGGAAGTTTAGAAACAGAGTCCAGAAATACAGGAACAGGCATGTTTCACTTTGTCAAAAATCATGAAGTATTTTTAGATTCCATATGAACAATCAACAAACGCATATATCTAATGAGTGTTAAGAGTGTTAGCCGTTTGGGGTTTTATATTTTCAAAAAGTACAGTTGTTTTTTGACATTTACACTCAACTTGAACAGTTATTGCCTGCTTCTCTACCCTCTCATAGCAGTGAGTCAAAGATTTAGAGTCTGAATTATCTAGAACTTTCATTTCTCCCTGGCAGTTGTATTTACCTGATAACCCTTATTCTGGTGCCTTTGGTTGTCAGTAGTTAGGGCTTTTGATGACTTAAGAGAAATACTGATTTTTAAGAAAGCTACTTCAGTTGGGATTCAGGAACTAAACAACTTTAAAATTTCTAATTTTGATGAGACATCATTCAGAAATGAATTGCCAAGCATTTAAATAGTGCCTTCCACCTGTCTGCATGGGTAGACTGTCCATAAAGCCAATGATCCATGTGTATCCAACTGGTGTCTTTCCACATTAGCCAAAATGTACAGTCGTTCCATGGTTACACCTGTTCACTCGGAGTCATGGGCATCATCTTGTGTCTGGTGACAATATTAGGGCCACAGAAGGAAGAACACAGATGTAGAGAGGTGATCACCTGAAATGATAAGTTTCATCTTGACCAAGAGAGCCCCAGGTCAGATGAAACAGTCAGAGTAGAAGAACTTGTTCCAAGCAGTTTTGTTTCAATCTCTGCCCAGACCCCAGGGGATGTGTTCAGAGGGCTGCCTTCTCCCAGGCTAAGGTGTCTTGGGATATGCATGGATGATTTCCTTGTGCAACTAACACCCGGAAATGCTGAACCTGCAGGCAGTATCTTAACTGACACTCATGTATCTTGTGTTAGATCAAGCTCCAGTCCGTGAGCTGTTGGAGCACGCTTTCTGGGTAATTCTTCAGATGACAGAACCTCCTTTCATGCTGTCATCTGACACAGTATGCATTCCTGTCCCAGGCAGGGAGCCTTCCACTGCGTTCTTCCTTCTGGATTCTGCCTCCAGTTTGATCCTCTGAAGAAAACTGGAGGGAATATTTCTAAGTACAATGTTCTTTCCAAAAATTCTGTTATTTTCTCAGAATGGTTTTCCATCTTAGATCTGCATGATATTCAGGATCTGAAAAAGCTGTCAAGAGTTAGAAAGGGTCTTACGGTTCATTGACTCCACTCCACCTCCACCAAACCACCTTTCTGTGAAGTAACTTTCCAGCTTTTGCTTGAATACTTCAGTGACAAGAAACTTACTACCTGACTACCTTGCGTGCCTGCTCAGTCGCTTCAGTCGTGTCTGACTCTTTGTGACCCTATGAACTGTAGTCCACCGGGCTCCTCTGTCTATGGGATTCTCCAGGCAAGAACCCTGGAGTGGGTTGCTGTGCCTTCTTCCAGGGGATCTTCCCAACCCAGGGATTGAACCTGTGTCTCTTAGATCTCCTGCATTGGCCAGGTGGTTCTGTATTACTAGCACCACCTGGGAAGCCCCACCTGACTACCTTGGTTGAACCCAAATCTGTTGTCCCATAGTTTTTCTGTGCTATTTTGTTCTCATTCTGTTCTCTGGAGTGGAAACACATGGCTCTCCTCTTTCTGCCAGATGGCATCCCTAAAGAGATTTGAAAACAGTAGTCCTGTCCTCCCACTCACATCCCCAGTTCACTCCACTGTTCTTCTCATGACCAGGTCTTAAGTGATTGAGCAATTACTATCTCTGGATAAGTAAAGTTGTTGAACTCCTTGCCCAAATACGAGACCCAAACAGACTCCAATAGAGCACAGGAAGGAGGGCCAACCCCAGGGAGACAGGATGGTGTTTCTGGTAGCTCACTTAGAGATGGAAATAACTTCTGGCTCAGGCCTGACAGCTGCCTCATGTTGCAGCTTTGAGGAACCTCAGCCCACTAAGTCTCTCTCCTATATTGCTGCCAAGCTGCCCCTTCAGACCGGTTCCTTTCTGACCCTGATATTTGGGATCATATGTACATACCCAGTGCACTCAAGCTCCCTTAGAAAAATCCAAGGAAGAGAAGGGAACACTGAAAAACAGGACTCACGATCCCCAACACTATATCCTTTGTTTTCCTTCTGAAACGTGTAAATATAAAGTTGGCCGCTGAAAATGTAGTGATCTGAAGGCACGTTTTTTTTTTTGTATGCTGAGCAGGGATACAGATTGAATTAAAGGGCAACAAGAGAAGCAAACTTCTTTACCGGGAGTCCAACCCACAAGACTCCTGTGAGCTAAGTGCTGTTTCATGTAGAAATTAAAAACTGGAACGAAAGGGACTTAGGAGGAGGAGAGAAGTCCTTTGTCTTTTCCCTTGGGCCTTGGTCCAGCTCTGCTCTTGATCTGCCCCTGCACCTGCTCTGGTTTCGGGGGCCTGGAGCGGCCTCTCTTCCCTCCCACACTACCCCCTCTGCTTCATCACCCTCAACCTTGGATGCTGTCGGAAACTTTCCACAGTGATTTCATCTACATACTGTGAACTGTGAATTGACTGTATTTTTTATGCAAGAATTTTCTAGAGAATTTGTTAGCTGGGACTAGAAAGTTGTTTTATTTTTAATTATTCCTCATTCTGGGCAGCAAAGGATCACTATTTGTAGCTACGTTTCGCAAAGACATTTTGTCCACTGTCCTCTTCTAGAGGGACTGCAAAACAGAGAGGAGGCTAATTCGTACATAGGGGGAAAGAGCCCTTTTACTGTGAAAAATATTTGTAACTTGGAGGGTATTTGCTTATGAAAAGGATGTTCTTACTCTCTTGTGCAACAGAACACACCTCTGAGATTTGATTCCATGTTACCAAATTTGTCCTTGACTTCTTCCTTGCAAGGTCACTTTTAAATCCCTCTTGTAGTGGTATAGTCACCAAGTCATGTCCAACTCTTGAACCCCAAGGACTGTAGCCCGCCAGGCTCCTCTGTCCATGGGATTTCCCAGGCAAAAATACTGGAGTGGGTTGCTATTTCCTTCTCCAGGGTTTTAAATCCCGACTTGATGGAAAAGTGGAATAGGCCAAGAACACAATTTTTCACAGAGAAGCGCTATATTGTTTGAAATAAACTGCACAGCCTTGTCTGCGGATATTCATTTGTGTATCATTGTTATAAAATGCACATCCTCCTAAAACAATGTTCTTTGAAGTTTTGCTAAGCTGTTATTATATTAAATTTCATGATGATAATCTATGCCCCAGCCTTAATCATTCCCAATGTTAAAACTTTTGCAACGGGTGATTTGAAGAGTAGTTTTACAAATGTGGTCTTACAGGAGATTAGGAAATGTTCCTTACTCACATTGTCTCACATGGAAACCATCTTCCTGCTAGCAGTTTAGGACAGATTCTGAAGGAAATATGAGGAAACAATGACTTTGAAAACAGCTGCATCTTTTTAATGAAGAGAGTCATTTTAGAAAAAAAAGTTAAGCCTATGTCAAAAAAAAATCTGAAGATTCCATTGGGTTTTCTTCATAAGATTCAGACGTGGCCATGAAAGGAGAAATTTGTTGACTCATGAGGGGATTTTTTTTTTTTTAATGCAGAAAGAACTATCATGTTCAAATACCCTTTATACCCTAGTGGATCTTTCCAAAATGTTTGCTAGTGTTTAGTTTGTTTATCTCCAGTTGTTATATTAATTTACAATGTTTTTTGTGAGACAGTCACTTTAATTAATGTTTGATTTTGTGCACTAAGAGGTTTCCTATCTTTTCATTAAATATATACAAAAAAAGATAAGCAATGAATATTCATGGCTGACTAGTGGAATCTTGTGCCTTTTGTTCTTAACAATGTTATAAGGGCCCTCATTTTGAATTTTTCATGGGGAGAAAAGTGTCATTTCTCTTTTCATCAGCTGTAGAAACCACAGCATGCACACTTAAAAACAAATCATTAAGTAACCGAGATCAGCACAGTTTCTGTCAACTCCCATAATCCATTAGTTAGAACATGAACTTGACAACACAAGTGTCAACTAGGACACGATTTCCTAACTCAGCAAAGCCTGATGGATATTTGTTGCCCATAAGTCTGACATCCTAATATCCGAGGCATGAGAGTGCTGTGTTAAGTTGGGGGCAAGAAATAAAGCAATGATATTCTGAGTTCAGAAACCATAGTACAAGGATGTCCCCTCCAAGCCTGGATATTCCTCTAAGGTTTTCTTTCAGGAAAACTTGGGAACCATATACCTTTTTTCAAACTTGTTATTTTGTGTTGGGGCATAGCCAATTAACAGACATGTTGTGATTATTTCAGGTGGACGGTGAACGCAGCCATACATGTACACGTATCCGTTCTCCCTCAAACTCCGCTTCCGTTCAGGCGTCACGTAACCGAGCTGTGTTCCCTGCGCTATGCAGTGGGTCATCCTCACCCTGCCCCCCAGCAACCTTAAGTTTGTTCTCTAAGTCTGTGAGTCTCTATTTCGTAAGTTCATTTGTATCGTTTCTTTTTAGATGCCACATATAAGGGAAGTCACACCAATATTTCTCTCTTTCTGTCTGACTGACTTTAGTCAGTATGACAATCCCTAGGTCCATCCATGTTGCTGCAAGTGGCACTTCTTTTTTAATGGCTGTGTAATATTCCAAAGTATACATGTACCACATCTTCTTTATTCATTCCTCTGTCAATGGACATACAGGTTGTTTCCATGTGTTGGCCATTGTAAACAATGCTACAATGAACACTGGGGTGCGTGTATCTTTTTGGATCAAGTTTTTCTACAGATGTATGCCCAGGAGTGGGATTGAAGGATCATACTATAGCTCTATTTTTAGTTTTTTAAGGAACCGCTTACTGTTCTCTAGAATGGCTGCACCAATTGACATTCCCACCAACAGTGTAAGAGAGGAACCATAATACTTTTAATTTTGAGTAAGAAGATAAGTCAGTGGCCTAGGTTGTTGACAGGAATTCTGTAGAGCATGTACCCTCTTCTTAGGGGTTTTAAGCAAAGGTTTGAAACAGTGGTCAACCCCTCCACTCTTCTCACCTGACACCTAAAATTGGATAATTTCATGATCTTGTGCTTATTATAAATAGCTCTGTGGTATCCCTGACCCTGTGACTAGTGCAGTGAAATTGGAGTTACACTTGATGTCATCAGATCAACTGGAATACCTATACTATGACATTTACCCTTCTAATCAAATTTTTTCCATGTAACTCTGCAGTGTAATCAAACCTTCCTAAAAGTGAAGGGTAGACTCTTTACAGTAAGATATATTTTCTTTTGGAACCAGCTCTTATAAGAGCTGGTTTTAACCTGCAACAAAGTAACAAAAAGAGTGAAATTTGTTCAACCTCTATCCACTAGTTGGACATTTTTGATTAATGAACTGGTCTTGAGATTTCCACTATTTAAAGGGGAAAGGATTTACTATGTAAATCAGTAATCTAAATAAGATTACAAAGAGCCTGTTCATCCTGCTTAAGAAAACAAACCTCTAAGAGTTTAAAAAACTACTGTAGTGTTATTGCCTTTGCAATATAACATGGTCATTTACAAATCTCTTTGATTTAAAAAAAAAAAAAAAGGTCTAGTGGGACTATCTCTAGGCAAAACTTTACCAGATGTTTTCAATACTAGTTGAGAGTATTAAATAATATCTATTTTTAAATGTCTTAAATGTGATCTTTGTTGGATGCTCCCCACTCCCGTGAGAACCATTGTTCTACCTTGGGAAACTCTCTGGTCTGCAGGGTGACCTAGTTCTCTGCATTTTGGCAGTAAGGAAGTGCTTAAATCAATGTAGCCTTAAAGGATGGGATCTGTAAAGCCACAAGCTTTATCCTCCCTCTGGCAAAATTTCCTTTCCTGCAGAGATCTGAGGAAAGGCTGTGAGAAACACGCAAATCTCTGGCAACACCCTCACTCAGACTTAAGTCCACTGATGTCTGTCCTTTTCTACAATTTGATCTCTTTACCTTCAGTGTTCTGAAGACTGTATGTGTTATTAGTCACATATAGCAGGCAGGAGAGATAGACACTGAATAATCTTGAATTGTTTTAATAATTCTTTCACAGATCCCTTCTTGAATTTCTTTGCCCTACCCTGAAAAGAACCCTAGGCTGTGATTGGCAGGTGCAGTAAATTTCCTTCAGTAAATGACTTCCCTGCCAATCATGACAAATTATACAGCACTTTGGTAAATATCTACACGTTACCAGAGAGTAAGCAGAAGTTAGAAAAGCCCATTTTGAGACAAAATTCAATCCTTCCTCTAAATCACTATGATTCAGAAAACTAATTTAGGCACAAATCCTGCCTTGGAAACAAAAACTGTGATTTTTCTCATCTGTGGGTTGGTTCTTTAAAAACACTCTGGACTGGAGGAACTCATCTTGAGGCCCTTCAGAGATGGAGGGAAAGTTTCATTTTCTCTGTGTTCTGATGTCATTATGTGGGTCTTGGGAGAATCAGCCTAATGAATCTTTTTAAGCAGTTTGGGCCATTCTGAAGAGAACTGCAGGTAACCTCACTTGCTCAAACTCCACATTTCTGTTAGAGTAGGGAGCCTCTCTGACACCAAGGTTCACCACCATCATGCATCACCTACTGTTTTCATTGTCTGGTTACCTGCCTCTCTTACTAGTCTAAGCCCTTAAGAGCAGGCACTCTTCAGCACCTTGCTGTGCTGAAGTAACAAAACTTCACCCAAAGTCCAATGTATTTGGGACACAGTGGTGGGCCTCTAATGATGAAGAACCTCTGCTTTCAAGATAGCTACCATCCTTAAAAAGCAAAATGGATGCCCTCCAAGAGAAAGGAATTTACAAACAACTGCACAAGTAAGACTTTTTTTAAGTGGGAGATATGAAAAATGTTGAAACTAGGATTTAAGTAGTCTCAATCATTTTAGAGTCATCTTGGTGTGAAGCAACAAGGCCTTAAAACATCCTGAGGGATTTGGATTTTAAAATCCAAAGACTTAGGTTGAAGAGTGAAGCCAATCACTGTCTAATACCTCAGCTTCCCTATCTATAAAGCTGATGATACCTACCTCATAGGATTGCAAGTATGAAATGAGAGGAGACCTGGTAAAAATATCACTTGTAGACTACTAAAGTAGATTCTGTTGCCTGCAACTCAGAACTCTGATCAATAACGTGAACTCTAAGGAGAGAGAAAAAGGTTTCTTTCAATCTCATCAGTTTCAACTTCATACAAGGAATGAGCCAGAAGTGAAATAAGGGGCACTGGCCTCTCTGCCAACAGTGGTCTTCATATCCCTGAGGTCAGTGAGTTCATGTTTAGGATTTACTCTGGTGTTTTAAGTTCTACCCAGAAGCCACTGAGTATTTTACATATTTACAAGTATGCTCAATATTCTAATAATAATGTTTGGCCCTCATAACCTCTGAAACATCCACTTCTCCAGCAAATGCTCATAGTGGAAACAACTCCACCCAAATGGGTAACTGCAGGGCTATGCCTAATTTCCCCAGCAACTTCCCCATGAATTTTACCCATCTGAAAAAGGAGAATGCGAACAGTTGAAGCTCTGGGGGGCAAGAAATGGGGGTAGATCCTTTGAGCCAACAGTGTGTGACCTCTCTCTTTACCACATTCAGAAAGCAGAGACTGGGGTCACCAGCTTCCCTAAGGTGCAGACCCTGGGCTGGCAGGAAAAGGCAGAGAACTGCAGTGCCCTATTGGAGCACCAGGGATCCATCTCTGCTGCATCCAGGAGGCACCAGCCAGGTAGACCACTGCCTGGCCAGGTCTGCCTGATATTGTTACTGAGTCCAAGCCTGTACTGTGAGCTGCACCATAAGCCAATAAATTGAGACAATTTGTTGGGGTAAGGAACACTTTATTTCGAAAGCTGGCAATGGCACCCCACTCCAGTACTCTTGCCTGGAAAATCCCATGGACAGAGGAGCCTGGTAGGCTGCAGTCCATGGGGTCGCTAAGAGTCGGACACGACTGAGCGACTTCACTTTCACTTTTCACTTTCATGCATTGGAGAAGGAAATGGCAACCCACTCCAGTGTTCTTGCCTGGAGAATCCCAGGGACAGGGAAGCCTGGTGGGCTGCCGTCTATGGGGTCGCACAGAGTCGGACACGACTGAAGTGACTTAGCAGCAGCAGCAGCAGCAGCAGCAGCAGACCAAGAAGATGGTGGACTAGTGTCCTAAAGAACCATCTTAATGAAGTTAAAATTTAGGCTTCTTTTTTACTAAAAGGAAGGGAGTGTGGTTGGTTGTTGCAAACTTCTTGGCAAAGGAATCCTTTTTTTCTTGCAGCTGTTGAGGTGGATCTGGTCATAATGTTCCTATAAACTTCCATCAAGACAATTGTTATTCTCTGTTCTGCGACTTTTTATCTCTTTATAAATGGAAACATGTTATACCTTTAAAGGTCAGAGCCTTGAGAATGGGCTATCCTGTATATTTCAGGCTGTAGGCAACATTCTTTTATTACTAACAAAAGATGCAGAGCCACCATGACAAAGCACAGGCTACAGAACACCAGATTAGAACTAAAAAATAAATCCAGTATGGAGTCAGCTTTGTTCTTCTCTGTTACAGTGTCAACTGACTGGGTGGCCAGTGGGTTAGTTGGTTTCTCATCTGAGCTGCCATCAAGTGAAGAGCTGAGGGGGCCCTGGGTGGGGAGAAGGGGCCTGTCTTCTGCAGAAAGTGAAATGGTTTCCCATGTGTTCATTCTTACAGGGTGCCTGGGGCCAGGTCAGTTGGGCCCTTTCTTGCCACCATCCTGCTTGCTGCCACTTCCCTCGGGCTCCCTGTCCCCTGCCTTCTCATGCTAAAGGTCTTGTGGCACCCACCCCACCCCTTGGGGAAAAGCCCACTGGAAAGTGGCTGCCTGCAGTCGGGCAGGAAGCACACAGGACGCAGGCAGAGAATGGGCTGCTCTTCCTTATCTGTGGCTGGAGCAGGTTGAGAGGAATAAACAGGAGGCCGTCCAGCCCTGGAAATTCCTGAGCACGGTATTCCTTTTTAACTGAAAAGAAGGGATATCCTGACATTGATCGGTGAGATGGGCCTTGCTCGGCATCTTTTCCAGACCCACTAGAGGAAGGGCCGGGACACGGGCTGTGTCCTGTGAACTGAAGGCCAGGACACTCCAAGGCCAGGCGTGAAGGGAGCAGAGCAAGTCCAAGGGCCCGAGAGCCCTGGCTGTGGGGATGCAAGGCCGGCCGCCACCCCTCACTAGTGACACCTGAAGCCCATCGCTTCACCTGCCTGGGTCTGGGTAGTGAGTGGGAATAGTACCCCTGGCCTCCTCGGGCTGTGTGTCACCTTGGCCCCAAATGGACATCCTCTAGGGCAACTATGGGCTTGTTCTCTCATCATTCAGAAGCGATGGCTTGACTATGAGGGCAGAGACATGAATGGGGGACCACCTGTCCCAAGGCACTTGGTCTCTCAACACTGGTCCCTCTTCTGCTGAGACCCTGGAGGACAAAGCCTAAGGGGACATGGTGGCCACTTGGTGACCAGGAGATGCAGGTCTGGGCTGGAGCCTGACTGAAGATGGGGATACCAGCTGGGAGTCAGCCAGTGTCACTGGTCCCTGTGAGATACACACAGACCCCCACCAAGGCTGCAGGGGGCGCCCTCTGAGGATGCAGGAAGGACCGCCTGTCACAGGATCCCTGAGGAGGTTACGTGAACCTCTTCTGTATCTGGGCAACGGCGCAGAGCTGCAAACCAACCTCGGGTGATTGAGGAGCTGAATGTTGAATTTTAATTTAATTCCTCCCAAAAGGCTAGCGGCTGCCACGGCGGACAATCCAGCCTAGGCATCGCTGGTTCTCAAACTTGCATTAAAAACAAGCATCACCTGAGCAGCTCAGTGAGAAGGGGCTGGGTTTCCACAGGTCGCAGGTAGGGAGAGAGGCCCTGAGAGGTGTGAGTCGTCCCAACTGATTCAACGTCTGTCCATTCTGCGCCGCCCCCCTTCCTTTCTCCCCAGGTCTCAGCCTTCTCTGTCACCCTCTTCTTTCTCCTTTCCCTCCATCGCTTAGTTTACATTCTCTCTGCAAATCTAACTGAGCAGACAAATGAGTGCTGAAGGACTGTGATGCAGGCTTGATGGTGGAGGGCTGGGGTGGGGAGGCCAGATTGTGGTCGCTCAGCCTGAGCGGGGAGGCTTGTGAGCACGGACACTAATTCTCTGAGTCTCAGTGTCTTCATCTGAAATGTCAACCACTTCAAATATGATGATATGGCTCTAATGGCAGAAAGTGAAGAAGATCTAAAGAATCTCTTAATGAGGGTGAAGGAGGACAGTGAAAAATCTGGCTTAAAACTCAGTATTAAAAAAGCTAAGATCATGGCATCTGGTCCCATCACTTCATGGCAAATAGAAGGGAAAAAGTGGAAGCAGTGATAGAGTTCCTCTTCTTGTGCTCTAAAATCACTGTGGATGATGACTGCAGCCATGAAATCAGAAGACAATTGCTACTTGGCAGGAAAGCAATGACAAACCTAGACATTGTGTTGAAAAGCAGAGCCATCACTCTGCCAACAAAGGGCCGTATAGTCAAGGCTATGGTCTTTCCAGTGGTCATGTACAGTTGTGAGAGCTGGAGCATAAAAAAGGCAGAGCACCAAAGAATTGATGCCTTCGAACTGTGGTGCTAGAAAAGACTCCTGAGAGTCACTTGGACAGCGAGGAGATCAAACCAGTCAGTCTTAAAGAAAATCAACCCTGAATACCCAATGGAAGAACTGATGCTGAAGCTCCAATACTTCGGCAACCTGATGCAAAGAGCCAACTCATTGGAAAAGTCCCTGATGCTGGGAAAGATTGAGGGCAGAAGGAGAAGATGGCGTCAGAGGATTAGATGGCTGGATGGCATCACCAGTGCAGTGGACATGAACTTGGGCAAACTCTGGGAGATGGTAAGGGACAGGGAGGCTTGGCATGCTGCAGTCCATGGGGTCGCAAAGAGTAGGACTTGACTGGGCGGCTGAAAAACAGTGGTACAATCCAAAACATCTGCAAGCGTTCAGTGGCACACAGTGGAATCCAACAAGAGTGGGTTCATATCAGCATCCAGCTGTCCCTCGCACTCCTCTGGCCCCTTCTGGTAAACTAGCACCCCTGTAAGTTCAGCATCTCACCTCATACCTCTCACTGAGTCTGATCACAGACCCACCAGCCAGCATCCTCTTTTCCCCACAGTGAATACTGCCTCTACGTGCCCTTCAACATCTTTGAATTCTAAACTTTTGGGGTTTTCATAAGAAAGGGCTTAACAGGTCAACTGAGGATTGGGCTGGGGAGAGTCCTGCCTTGGACTATCTCCAGGAGGTGGGGAAGCCCCCCATCATGGTAGATCAAGGGAGTCAGAAACATCCCAATGGCCCAGGCATTCAACGAGGGTAAAGTGGGGAATGATAGGCTGTGCGCAGAACCTGGCAGCAGCTCTCTGAAGCCCCAGGACCTCAGCAACAGCCACTGTGTCTTGGCAACTGCCCAGGAGGAGGTGTCAGTCTGGGCCCCGTCGTGAAGTCTGGCAACCATCCGTCCCCTGTTCCAGGGCCCCCAGGTCCCTGCTTCCCGAGTGAGAGGGAATCACTTTGCAGTGAGGAGATGACTCTTTAATCCCAGCACCGCCCCCTCCCCAGGGTCACAGCGGAGGCTGGTGGTTTCTGTCCGCCAAGATCTTCTCAATAAATTATAGGCTTCTCAGCTTTCTCAGAGTGATCTTATTACCCCTGGTGTGTTTCAGGTTCAAATAATGCAGTCCACCTTCCTGGAAACTGGATATTGGGCTATTCCAGGGACCAAGCACAATTGTTCCCTGATGTGGTGAAGGAGCCGGGGAGGCGGCCGGCGGCCTCACCTCTGACTAGCTGCTCTGAGCTCTCTGATGGCCCAGGGTGGTGGGTGTGCTGAGGTCAGGGGGCCAAAGGAGGCCTGGGATTCCTGAGGAAGGAGGCAGCCAGCAGACTTAAGGGGATCCAGACGCCGCCCTGGAGCTAGGACCAAAATCAGGTCAGCCTGTGATCCTTGGGCTCCTCTTAGCTCCCAGGACCCTCGTGGAGTGAGTTGAGAGGCCTCCTCCAGGTGAGGAAGGCTGGGCACCCCCGGAGCTGGCCTGGCCTCTGGGATCAGGGCTGTGGAGCCGCCTGGCCTGGCCTGGCCTTCTCCTGCAACCTGACCTTACATGAATGACCGGCTTGCACAGACTAGTTTGATCTCTTTCAAATTGAGTGGAAAGATTTTTGTGAGAGGACTTGGGGGACCACATGGCAACTTAGGGCAGGCTTCCAAGAGGGCTTGGCACCCAGGCTCGCCCCCGGTTCCATGGCTACTTCTCTGGGGCGACAGGATCGCCTGTCCGTGCACCGGCCTCTCTCCATTTCTCCTCTCTCTCAGTGTGAGTCCGCTCCCTCTGCCCTTTGCCCCGCCCCGACGGGGCTGCTCCAAAGTGGGCCTTCTTCCCTGAGCCCACAGCTCCAGCTGCTCCCTGCCCTGGGTTCCTGGAGTCTTGATGGCAAACCTCAAACCTGGCAGCCTGCAAACCCCCTGTCCGGTCAGCTTGCGGGGAGGAAGGCCACCAGGACGTGGCTTTGGTCTCCCCGGGCAGCATGGCAAGCTTGGCAGGGGCAGGAGCATTGTGAAGGCAACTCTGTGAAGTCGGTTGCCAGCAGCTTCCAACACCCTTTCAGCTCTGAAGCCACAGAGCTCTTACCTACATTGACCTGTCAGGAGGCTGGCTAGGCCCAGAGAGGCCTGGAAGACCAGCAGAGCAGTGGGGCGGATGCTCCTGCCGGGCCTCGCTTTTCTGGCAGCAGGAAACCCACAGCTCTGGCCTGTGGCTCCCTTATTCCCACCAGCTGATGTTCGAGGAGTGAATTCCACCCACAGGTCATCGGCCCCCAGCTCTCCCATCCCCGGGTTCTGACCCCAGCACTTCCTCGCAGAGGGTTGCTCAGGTTGTGTTCAGGGACCAGCCCATCTGGGAGCTGAAGACCGCCTGAAGTCACCATGGCTGTCATCACTCCCTAATCAAGGCCCCTGACACGGAGCCTCCTTCTGCACCAGATTCCCTGGTCTGTCTCCTGGCTTGGTCGGGTCCGTCTCCAAGCTCCCAGTTGCTGGGCCTGGCTGTCTCCCCGGGTCCCCGCTGCCCAGGGAGACAGCTGCCCCCGTCCATCCGTCAGTCCCTGGTTTCCATCCCAGAGGCCTCATGAAACTCACAAGGGGAAGGAAGGCCGAACTGGGGTCCCTGGGGGCAGGAGCAGGCAGTGCGGAGAGAGAGGGGGACAGTAACTGGGGGCCGACCCAGAGCCTCAGGGGCAGCCAGGCAGCAGAGACCAGGCGGAGGTCCCCACAGTGCACCCCAGCCTGGAGTGTCCCCCCCTCCCCTCCTGCAGGGATGGGGCCCCCGCCCCACAGCATCTCACCATTGCATCCTCAGGCTTCTTGCTGTGACAGGCTGGGATGGAGGCCTGACACGAGAAACAGCTGGAGCCCAAGGCATTCACACTTGCTCAGATTTCACACTGTTGTGATTTAAGATTAGCAGGAAGGAGAGGCAGATCAGATGCTGCTGTCATTAGAGGCTTATCTCCCCCGGGGCCAGCCCTCAGCCCTGCCCTTTCCTCCTTCCGGCTTCTCTCCTCTCTGCTGGGCCCACCCTTCCTTAGGGAACACAGGACGGCTGCAGCTGGTGTGGGTTTTAGGCCACAGGACATGCTTTGTGAGTCTAGTAGCCTCGAAGCTCTGGCCCCATGTGGCCAGTGGTTCAGGCAACCAGGTGGGCTCTGGGCTGTCCATGGAGAGGATGTTGGGAGCTTCCAACAAGCAAAAAGCACCTGGGTCTGCTAGGACTGTGGATCTACGCACTTTGAAACTCATTCTGTTCAGTTAATTACTTGATGTACGCATGCGCACAGTGATTGAATGCTACCTTGTGCTACCATTGTGGTGGGGGAGGGGAGACACAGTGGCGAGAGAGGCTGTGGCCTTGCCCTCAGTCTAGTGAGAAGGTAATGGGCAATCAGAGTGTAAGAGTGTCCAGCTGGGGCTATACACAGGACAGTTCCCCAAATTTCCAAGTGCAATCTAGTGCAGGGATCCCCAGCCTCCGGGATCTAATGCCTGATGAACTGAAGTGGAGCTGATGTAACAATAGAAAATAAAGTGCACAATGAATGTAATGCACTTGAATCATCCAGAAATCAACCCCCCTCCACCTCAATCCATGGAAAAATTGTCTTCCTCAAAACCGGTCCCTGGTGCCAAAAAAGGTTGGGGACCCCTGGTCTAGTGTCTTGTTATTCAAAGTGAGCCTGTGGACCCAGCCGTAGCAGGCCACTTTGGTGCCTGTTTGGAGTGTAGAATCTCAGGCCCTATTTTCTCCATCCTGATTCAGACTCTTCCTTTCAACAAGATCCCCACGGGATTCTCACACATGCTGTAATGTTTGTGAAGTTCAGCCTGATACACGGGTTCTTCATCCTGCCCTGAAGCTTGGAAACATACACGTGACTGGCTCCCTCCCCATAGATTCTGATTGAATTGGTCAGGATGTGGCTGGCACCAGGGTGTTTAAAATATCCCACGGTGATTCTAATACGCAGCTAAGATGAAAACCACTGGTCTAAAGGAAAATCCTTCTGGAGGAAATGACATGCAAGCTCACTGACTCACTCATACCCTCTCTCAGTCCTTCGTTTGAACAATACCACTGATTCAGCTTCAAGAGGGTGAAGAGGAATCAGAACACTCCAACCCTTCACAGCTCATGAGCGGAACACAGGCAACAGCAGAAAAACTAGAGAGCAAGGAGCAAGGGCACAATTTGCAGAAAGCTTTTTAAAGCCCCCAAGGCAATGCAGTGACCCCCAAGGGTAGCGGTGGTCAGGAGGAAAGTTGGGGTGCACTGGGTCTCCAGGCCAGGGTCATGGGCACAGTTGTGGGTTTGGGATCTGGGAGGCTGGGGGCGGGGGCAGGGAACAGGATCTGCTTCTTCTGGGCTGCAGTGGATGGTAAATGGGCAACAGAGTAAAACTGCCCAGTAGGGAAGAACTCGAGAGCTGCCCTGGACTAAATGGAGCAGGGCTCACTCCTCTGGCAGAGAGGGTCAGGGAGTTCCCCTTTCCACACCCAAGATGTTCTGTCTCCTTGGCTACAAGCATCAGAGAAGGGCTCAGCATCCCCTCAGACTGGTCGGCCTCCTCCTACAGACTCAGCAAGCCTGAGACCATCTGGTGTGTCCTCCGCCGGGGACGTGGGCCGTGGGGCCTCGCATTACTGTTGTGGCCACTGCAGAGCGCTGCCTCTCTCTGCCCTTCCCTGCAGAATCCCCCGTGCTCAGGACTCCAGGGCCCGGAGCAGGCCTGTCACGGACAGATGTTGGAAAAATCCAAGTGGCCGCCAGAGTCTGGTCACCTTATTTCGTGCAACTTCCTTGGAATTTTCTCCC